TTATGGCGGCATGGCGTTGAGTGTGCAAATAGAGCTACGAATACTTTTAAAGTTTTATTTTTACGATGAAAAGTTTTCTATAGGGTAAGGCTTGTTTACGTTTCTATTTATGTAAAATAATTGTAGTGATTGTTCGTTTTTATCGTCCATCCTTATGCTTATTACCTACATAATAATATATCACTGTTGAATCATTACTTACGGGGTTGAAATATTTTTCCCGATTTTCGAAATGACGGCAACGCACTTGTTACTCCTCTGGTGTTACGGGTATCCATTGGCGATACCGATTGCTCACCATCAAGTGATCCGTCTCCTAGTTTGCTGCCTTTAACTATAAAAAATAAATATGCCGATAGCAAAGCAAAAACTCCAAATACTAACTAGCCTAATTATTTTGAACCTCTTTGGCAACCGTACGTCACATTAACGATGAATCACAAAACTTAGGTACGATTCTGTGATTTGTACATTTGAGTCATCGGGTTACCGATATTTCATTGATGCGATGATGTCAATGATTTGTCCTTACAAATATGCACCAAAAATTTTGGAGCACGATATCTATTGTTCCTTATCTATACCTAACTAAGGTTAGTCATAGTTGGCCAGTACTTGATCGGAAATCCCGTGTGTATGTACTTAAACCTAAAGTAGGTAGTGAATGGCCATTTAATTATACTTGAGAGACGAATTTTTTTTATATCATGTTCGTGTTCACGGATTACTTGATGGTAAGCCATCGGCACGGCCCATGGACACCCGCAACATCAGAGGAGTTACGAGTGCGTTGTTCGGCTTTTGGGGATTAAGGTTTCGGAGATATAGGGATTGAGGAACCGGGAAGAAGGATTAGGTTTTTTTTAACTTCACTCACACAGCAAAACACAACGCTGTTGTTCTTTCAGGTCTGTATTCTGCGAGGCCGTGGTTATTGGTTGAGAAATTTTCTTAATAATACTGTTATGACAATTTTCTTTCGTCCAGGGTGATTCGGAAGGGAATCTTACTTACTAAAAACGCCTCGTTCATTGTTCTGCTTCGACGTATTAAGGCCTTGGCTTCTTGCCCTTGAAATCTAGTCTACGTCATTTACATAGGTAGCTATAAGAACGACATTGTACAGAGAAATAAATATAACCATATTAAAATAAAAGATGCTCTGGACAGTCGAAGAATGGAGTATGTCGTATGTCTAGACTACTTAGGCAGTCGTTTGGCGAAGGTCACGAGAAGGATTAACAACCACTTCTTACCATCCGACAAACGAGCCAATAACTTTCTTTCACTTCCCAATTACTTCTTCAAAAGAAACTGCCATTGATAACATTTTGCAGGTACAATTCGTCTATGAATCATATAGATAGAAATTTTAAAACAAATAATTTGGAGAGATTACGATTGTAGGTTGTACCGTTAGCGTCAAATATGTAGGGGTATTCAGGGTGATCAATTATGAAGACGAACACAAACCCTCAAAATATAAGAATAACAACACCATAGATCAGGTAAAGCGGCATAAATATTGGTACAGTTTAACTGTCAATCAGAGCATAAAATATGGCACACATTAGGAATATCATATTTCATATTTGACTCTGACTGTCAACGTATATAGAGGAGCAAAATTGCGTCCAAAGGATGTGTTGCACAGTTATCAAGTGTAATTCTTGTTAAGATCTGTGTTAAATTTAAAAATAAATAAAATTGGTGTATTCGATCCCCGATCTCATAACCGAAATTAATTGTTTATAAGAATGTAGTACCGAATAGCTCGATAGATGGCATTGGAATCGAGTTAAATGGCGATATGGTTTCGGTACACAGCAAATGGTATATAGCAAACTTCAGAAGAATAAAATTGTCTCGCTCTGAGGTACATTGTTTCATTCGGGGATCCCTGGCTTCAAGGCACTCTGTACTCGTATTGTACAGTCTGCTTTATTTTAAACTTTCTTTAGTGTTGTAATTGACACACGAAGAAAAATCATACATAGAATAGAGAGCAATACGGTCCAGTCGGCTCGCTCGTGCCAAAGAATGATGATTTTGATACTACAAAAAGAAAAAAAAAGAAAAGAAAAGAGCGTTATACCCAGTTTAATATTCACAACTTTTTGAAGTTTTGTGTTCCAAGATTTCTATCATAGTAAATATTGTGGTTTTAATCGTACAACGTGAACGCACTCTATTCTAACGCAAATGAGTGACTCATACGATAAAGGGTTACATTTTGATAAAATACAGGTAACTAGGAGATAAAATAAACCAAATATTATATGACTCACTACTTCCACCTCGAATTTGATATTTAAGCAATGTATATATGTACAAGTACAAATTATAGGAAATTAAAGTTTACTAGCTTCAGCCCGCGGCCTCGCACGCGTATTTAAGTAATGTATCCATGAATTATAAAAAAGCAGCATGTAGCACAGCATCAGTGAAAGAATTTTGGAAATCCGACCAGCGGTTCCAATCATTATCCCCTCCATACAAACTTACAAATTTTACCTCTTTATAATAATACTAGCGGACCCTCCCCAAAAACTCCCACATATCAAATTTCAGCGAAATCATTAGGGCCGTTTTTGAAATCACATTCTTTATCAAGCAGTCAGCGCTATCTGCCGGGCTGATTAGTGTACTTATGTAAAACATCCAGGGCGCCACTCAAACGCACACGGGGGAGGGGGAGGAATTGGGCCTCCGGTAACCTCACTCACATGGCGAAACACAACGCTGTGGTTGATTCACGCTGGTTTTCTGTTAGGCCGTGGTCACTCTGGTCGAGCCGATTCATTCGTGCCGAAGCTTGACTCTCCCATACTTAAACACACGTAAAGCAGAATAATATACATATACTATTATAAAGAAAGTACAAAACAATATATTTTAAGGAAAACCCCAAGAGCAAACCTGGACTTGTAGTTTCCAATTATAAGTTTGAAATCACCAATGGGCTTTGACCAACATCGTGGCGATTAATGCTCAAACCTTCTCCGTGTAAGAAGAGGCCTTTGCTCAGCAGTCAGCACTTATAGGCTGATGATATGATGTGATGTGAACTTTCCCTTCGATGTTTCTTTCTGTTTCTTGTTATTGTGTGTAAATCTGTGATGAGGAAAACGTGAGACAACCGTTAACTGGTAAAATGGTACATACATTTATGACCTACCTCAACAAGTAATTGCTTATACCATTGACAAATACTAAGTACCTAACGAAATGAATAAGTCTTTACAAGAGCGATTACAGATAAATAGATATCACGTACAATTAAAAAAAATAGAAACTATTGATTTAATTATTTATGAGACAATAAAACATTAAAGTGTCCAAGAGCTGTGCATCGGCGCGAACGAGCCGGCTTGACCGGAGTGATACTGCGACCTCATAGAATAGCGATTTAAAAACACTACTTACGTTGTGTTTCCCTGAATGAGTGAGGTTACTGGAGGTCCAATGGTAGGGATCATTTTCTTAATTCCCAAATGACCAACAAAAGGTCGCCAACACACTTGTAGTAACTCTGGTATTACCAGTGTCCATGGACGGCGCCGATTGCTCATCATCAGGTTTTCCGCCTGCTTTATCAACCGAAACAAAAGATTATTTCAACACATTAGGGGGTAAAAGCCCACATAAATTATCACCAAGCCCTTCCAGTTTACTAAAATCATGTGAGTGATTAGCAAATATTAAATACGCATTTAGGTAATACTCAGGCTTAGTACTGATATCACAAGATTATCGTTGTAAGATAACACTAGATAACAGTTATGTATTCGATCGCAAAATATTGATGAGTAATTTGTATGTACTGAAAACAAACGCACTGAAGTTTTGAGTTCGTTTTATCAGTGATAGGAAAACTTAATTTTAGGGTTTTACTAGCTTTAGCTCGCGGCTTAGCCCGCGTGGTACGTGGATAAAAAAACCAGGCGGTTATTTTATGTGGTAATCCAGGGTTTTTGCGTAAAAGAATAAGAACACAAACATACATAGGTACAGTACATACATTCTTGAACTTTCACATTTATAATGTTATTATACAACAATACAAAAAAAACTTACACAAATTTTTTTTTCTTCTTATAATAATTAATAAGTTGCGGGAATCTTCCTAAGCATTTGTTTGTTATGAGTAGAAAAGTAGAAACTTAGCAGTTATTTAAGATTTAATACTTGCATTTTTTTTTTGTTATTAAAATCATCAAATTACTTCCATCCAGGATGAGACGAGAAGAAGTATGAGACTTTTACTGACTGAAAATCCCCTCGTCCCACTCCGACTCTAGGCCGAGGCCCTCCCAACCCCGGCTCGTCAACCTTGTATACCGAAACTGGACCACTGAGAAAATTTTTACTTCAAAAATATTTGACTAATATTGGCCCACGAATAAACCTAAATATCTTTTGGTGTTAAATAACACGGTTACGAAAAGTTAGATGTATCTATTGTTCTATACTAATTTTATAAAGAGGTAAAATTTGTAAGTTTGTATGTTTGTAAGTTTAGGAACCGCTGGTCGGATTGCCAAAATTCTTTCACTGACAGATATCTACAATGTTCCTGAGTGCTATAGGCTATAAAACATCACGCTACGATTAAATTGAGCCGAGCAGCGGGTGAAACCGCGCGAGAATAGCTAATATAGTATTAAAGGCCTAATGAACAAACGTCTACCAGGTTTATCAGCCAAAAATGATTGACGACATGAAATAACTAATATCCATAGCACACATACCATGATCAATATTTAATACTATAAAATATGGTTTAAAACCTAACAAAAGGGTGATAAATGTATGCGGCTATAACTAGCGTGACTGAAATCAAATACAATTATAGTTTTAGTCACGATGGCACGAACGACATGGCAATAAAAAAGCCACTCGAATTTTGTTTGTTCTTATCAAAAAATTTTATATATTCTCGATTGTGTGTGATATCGGGGCAATAGATGAACCGATGTTTCTTCCAGATTAGATATGACCTGAAAACATTTATTAAAAACGTTGGTGTTGCCAATTGTTATCACAGTTTGTTGAAGTGTGTTCGTCCGTGAAGTCGGTACAATGGCGCCGTGGCTTGAGTTCCCCTATGAAATGAAAAATATAACCGGCGAAGATGATAAAATACTGAGAAAATGTTTACTAGGTGCGTTCAGTGTTGTGTTTATTTGTTTTAAACGATAAGTATTACGGATATTGGTGTACGGTTTTTTTTAATAAAATTACTTTATTTCATCATCATCATCTTCATATACGATCTAATATTAATAACTTTGTAAGTATGGATTGATTAATAGATGTTTATTACTCTTTCAAGTACAGATTACGGGATTGATTAGATGTCTAGAATAAAACATGGGGTATTTTTACCCTAATCAATATTTTACTCGAGATTCGATATGTTCTTTTGGAATCAAAAATTGCAGATATTACATACATATATTTAAACTAATATAAAACCAGGATAAGACTTCTTCTAAGTTTTTATTGCTTATATTAGATTTCTGTTCACGGCATATCTATATTAAGGTCAGGACGAAAAGCAGTTTGCATTTCTTCTTTAAGTAAACTTTCAAGATCAAAATTACAGTCTTCGCTGTTTATATGCGGTTAATGATTACAAAGGATATAATTGAGTGTAGTACTACTGTCTCGGCACTACGTCCACCTTTATTTATTTAACTGCGTCCTAAATGAGTTTTTATGCTGCACACGTGCTTATTAAATCAATCCTAAATTTTCGAAACAGACTGATTTTTTCATTAAATGCAGAGAAAAGTCCTTAGTTCTTTCGTTCTATAATATTAGGTGAAGACATATTTCCGACGTGAAACCGAAGAAAATCGACTCAATAGTTTTAAGGACATTAATGTCCCTGAGAAATATTTAGTGAGTGTATTTGTGATTAATCACAAATACACAAACTAAATATTTTTCTATTAAACTAAATATTTTTCTCACAAAAAAAAAAAATATTTTTCTCTTTTTCTATTATTACAATAGAAGTATAGTTGAACTATGTTTCATTAAACTTCTACACAACGAATACTTGACGAATTAATTGGAAGTTTGAATGTTTCGTACACGCATTACTAGCCGAGTTTTCGCATAATTTAATTAATGCTTACTCACATCATTGCTTATTAACGATTTCATTCATTAATATGTCTTACATAAGTTCATGTGTATTGAGTTTATAGGACATATTATTAGTGCTAGGCGTAGACGGAGATCAGATAGACTCAGGGACTATTATTTCTACCCTGACGTTTCTAAAGTACTTGTGTAGTGCGAGTTTATAGTTTAATTGGAATAAATAATTATGTTTTTTACTTTTGTTAAAATGTGGCCCCATGTTTTTCTGGTTATCTATCTATCTCTGTGACAAATTTCCTGCAGATCTGTTCAGTAGTTTTTACGTGGAAGAGTCACAAACATCCATCCATATTTGCAAACTTTCGCGTTTATATAGGTATCTAGGTAGGATATCCGATAGTTCACAAACATCCTGAGCTAAGAATCGGTGAATGGCAATATATTTAAACTGCTTAGGATTAGAAAAGAATATAAATTAACACTATCAACGGTTTAACACTAAGAAATTATCAATATTATAAGCCTTTTCAATTCCTTGAAGTAATTGGATCAAGATTAGCAGCTAACAATACGATTTTCAAAAAAATGTCATATCCGTGGCTTGTAAAAATTTATGATAAAAAAAATGGTTAACACAAAACCTATTTATCACGCCACAATCCTGTTGTCAACGTTTTAGTTATTTTCGGTGTGTTATCTGTATAGACGCGATATTGATCGATTTTTGTTCACCGTGCCAAACCTTTGCGATCGTTATAACAATTTTTTGTTTAAATATCTTTACACGATAATTCTGATAATTTATTACAGTGAATTTTTACATATTGCACGTACTTTTATGGCGCTATAAAATTATTGTAGTAGGTATGATATATGCACAATTAAAAATATAATAATTTGATTAAAACCTTTTTTTGCAACCGTCTTCTTAAGGTCTTCTCTAAATCTTAAGGTCACAGATTTTTTAACAACTAACTAATACAATTAAAGCTTTTAAAACTCTTAAAAATAAGTGTGGGAGAGCCAAACTTCGGCATGAATGGGTCAGCTCGACCCAAGTGATACCACGGTCTCACAGAAAATCGGCGTGAAACAACAACAGCTTTGTGTTTTGCCATGGCCCAGTCCTTCATCTCCTCATCATTAATTAAATATCCGAAACTCTAATCTTCAAAAGGTCGACAACGCACTCGTACTTCCTTAGCTGCAGCGGGTGTCGATGGGCAGCGCCCGATTGTTTACCATCAGGCAAAGCGTTAGGTCGTTTGCCGACCTATTTTATAACCAAAAACAAAAAACAAATAGTGGGTATCATTTTTGCAAAAGAGTTTTGCATATTCGTAAACGAGATATCATTCACAGCGACCTAAATGTGACCACTCAATTTAAAGTGATTGTACGTCAAAAATAAATTAATTCGACGTTTCAATACAATAAAATCTTGAAAAGTAACTATAGGTACTTTTATTCATCAATAGATCGATACACTGAATTTTAGATATTTTTAGCAAATTTTTAAGAAATAATTAAACTATTTGACCCAAAAAAACTATGACATCTTAACTCAGTGTTTCATAGAAATTTCGTAAGTTTTTGACATTTGGATAAAAGTATTGAATTTGACTCGTTGGAAACTACCATATTGAATTACTGTTGCAAATAAAGTCTCTATAGTTCGTTCCATAATTAGAGACAACAATTTGACAACAGCAAATGTCAAACTACAAAATAATGTGGCCAGATTTTTTCACATAGTGATGGGCCCGAGTACGATATTTTAAATAAAATACCGATACCGTTTTTTATAAAATACCTTGAGCAAAATAAAACAATGGTGCGGTGATGCTTTTATAGTTTAGTGGAATTAATAATTATAATTTAAAATAAAAATGCCAAATCCAAGACTAACTAAAAGAAAGACATTATATTTGAGGAACCTATGCTGAAACCCGAGCTGTTGGAGATTTCCTGGAAATAGAAGAGTAATTATGAACGATATGTCGTGGACTCATAACTGCTAAAAGGTGTAAAGGAATTTAATTTCGGTCTTTCGGTCAATACCGGTCGCGGGACTTCACTATTTATGAAATGGAAAAAACTTGCAACACTCGAAATGTCAAATCGTTGTCTCTAATTATGGAATGGGAATGAACTATAATAGATTTTTTGTTACATTAAATGAAACTGTCTGACTACCTTCAGTCTAATGTTTATTAACGCCATAGTTAAATAAAAAAATCATGTATATTCATTTTTTTCTCTTAGTAATAGCACTTCACCAACACCAATACATACCATGATCTGGTGAAAAAAAAAACATCTTTGTCTTTTCATCTTGAATGAAACGTGATGTTATGTTATGTCGTCTGGATCTCGAGATTTAACAGTTACAAACAAATGAAGGGTTTATCTAGCGTGGAGATAAGGTCTCTCAATCTAAGTTCTTCGGATGTGGATCTAGGTTATCTTGTTAAGTATCTTATTTGACATTTGTATCAGCGCCTAATGCGCACAGTAAATACTCGGTTTTGTTACTATTGTGTTTGCTGGTTCGGGTTATTTCATTTTACGTGAATGATTTAGAAACACTGGTAAAATGTAGACGTTTTCAATATTTATTATCTAGCTCTAACAAATTACTATGTTTTAAGGCTTTAACTTAGCCTATCTTCCTCTTTTAGCCTCTAAAAGTCTTATTTTGCTTCCAAAAATACATGAAGAAATTGTTCAGTTTTGAATGTGAAATAAAGCTTAATACCGTATTTAAATATTATCTGTAATAACATTACCTATAAAGTGGTAAATTTTGTAAATATGTAGGCAGTAATCTTTGAAACCGCTAGTCGGATTTCCAAATTTTTTCACTAGTAAATAGCCACAATATTCCCTAATAAAAGTGCGTTAGGCTATAAAACATCACGCTACAATATATAGGTATAGGAGCCGTAAAGCGATTGAAACAGCGCAAGAGTAGCTAGTTAATAAGAAACTATACTAGGTAATGGGTACAATATAATTATGGCCAAAATAATGGGTCAAGCCATCTAGGCAGATTCCTTAAACGCACTCTTTGAATCATACACATTCATCAGCGTAATTGTGCAAATTACATAACGATTCGGCCTTATTGCAATTAGGAACGTCTAATTTGATTTTAGCATCTTTTATAAATTCTCAATGTAAACTTTAATTATAGCTCAGTATAAGTGCTAAAGTTGCTTGCTCACTCAATTTTACAACCGGTCTAATAACATACGCGGTAGAACAATTCATTCACCTGGCCTTTATTCGAAAATTTTTCGTGATTAATGAACAAGGCCTTTATTCGAAAAAAAATTGTGTTTAATGAACAAGGCCTTTATCCAGAAGAGACTCTAGACGAGACGATCTCCGGCCACCGTAAGCGCTGCTCTGCGGACGGCGAGTAAGGGTAGCTCGCCGCTCGAACAGATCCATACCCGAACGTACGGCGCGTAACCACCACAGACGCCCCGTCTGTAGGGCTATAGGGCTGATGTTTAGAACAGGAGAAGGAACGGGGGGTTTTGAGTCAGTAGAAGTCTGATAGTCTCTCTCGCCTTACCCTGGCGGGAGAAGTCATTTGATGATTTTCTCCTGACAAAAAAGACTCTAACAATTGGTTAATAATTGGTTGCCGTAAAACACGGCTCGTGCGCGGTTCTCTCTCTGTCTTTTCGTGAGATCATCATCATCAACCTATAAGTGCTCACTGCTGAGCAAAGGCCTCTTCTCATACGGAGAAGGTTTGAGCATTAATCACCACGCTTACTTAAGGCGGATTGGCGATTTCAAACTTGTAATTCCACGTTTCCTCCTGATCTTTTCCTTTACTATATGTTAGTGGTGTCTAAATAATTAGAAAGTATATATAACTCGTTCGATCGTTACCTCGTGGGATCATTCTTTATGACATCCATATTTTCTAGTTCCGGGTTTATTATTATCTTTATTTTTTTTAATGCCTGGATTATAAGTACAAGCATATCTTTCGCCATTAGATATTGATTTATCATGTACCTAAAAGAATACGACTTATCTAGCAAATAATAAGAACGTCATTCGCATAACAGAACTAGGTCTTTCTTCGAGTAGTGTCGTAATAAAACTTTGTCATTATCGTGCAAAGATTCACGAGCAGTTTGTTGGAAGATAATCAGCTATAGTTACTATGTACACGAATTGCAGTAAAATGTTTAAATATTTTTTAATTTTACACTAAATTTCTCTTCTACTCCATGCCTTTTACTATACATAGAAAATATCCTCTTCAATTACTCTATCTATTGAAAAACACCGCATCAAAATACACTGCGTAGTTTTAAAGATTTAAGCATACATACATACTCATACATAGGGGATAAAGGGACAGAGAAAGCGAGTTTGTTTCATACTATGTAGTTATTATTGCTAAAATGAGGTTGTAGTTGAGTCTATGTGTGTGTTTATAGGTTGCTTGGCAACCGTTATTGACATTGGTGGTTTTTTGAGGGTTACCCGTTAAAGTTAGAGAAAGTATATGTGCCTTTATAGTGTATGAAACACAGACGAAATGTTTTCTATTTGTTGTAACTTGGTTGCTTTAATAAGAAAATAAATTCTAAGTAATAACAGATAGAGTTTAAAATTGTGAGCGAATACTGACTCGGTTTAATTACTGAGAAAACGAAGAACATTTTAAACACACTACAAAAAATCTTTTAATATATTTTTTTTAAGAATGAGTAACCTATTTCCCGTTTGATCGACTAGTGCGATAATTCTTAAAGACAGGAAGAGCTTAATGATAATAGTTGTGTGAATCAGTGGATTTTTCAATTTGGACAGTATGTTATGCCACACTTTAACATTGACAGTAGATAGCTAATCACTTAAGACGTTGATTGTCCCTTAATATCTAGATCCGTTATCATTCGGTGTTATTGTAATTATGCAAATGGCTTTTACGATACATTTATAGCATAGTAATATAACTCCTATGTTACTAAGGAAAAGAACTGTTTTTGAACTTCAACATATCACTATTTTAATATGGGACTTTTTAAAAATTCGTACCTAATATCGCATTCTCTTTTCGAATATTAACTCTGAAACGGTTGGCGCAGTGGCTGGGCAACTAGCTGCTGTGCAACGTGTCGCGGGTTAGATTCCCGCACGGAACAACATTTTGTGTGATCCACATATTGTTGCTTCTCGGTTCTTCTCCGTGTGAAAAGACGGGGCCTTTTGTTTAGCAAAGTGTTCTTCTCCGTGTTTTCCGAGGAGCCTTTGCTCAGCAGTTGAGACTTTGTGTAATTCACAAATTGTTGTTTCATGTTTTGGTGGGTTAAATAAATAAAATGAAATACTTATGTAATAAATTAACTACGCATAATTTCCATTATCGATCTTGGAACTTAAGGAAAAAAAAATGAACGCAGTTTTCTTTCCGTATATTAAATAAAAAATTGTGAAGTATCTATAGGTAACATTTTATCGGGACTAGAATTTTAGATCCATATTGTGAATGATATGATAATTCTCTTTATCAGATATGGGGTGCAGATATTGGATGATATTATTTGTTTTGAGTGACAAAATGCTAGTCATTGTTCTAAATGTACTCATTTGACCCTGATCAATAGATTACTTGTCACGAATTTGAAATACTTACCTGTTTGTCACTAGTGCTTTAAGTGCGTCTTCTAGAGATTTTTTATCATCATCATCATCAGACTATAAGTGCTCACGACTGAGCAAAGATCTCTTCTGACACGGAGAAGGTATGAGCATTAATCTTGCTCTTGGAGGATTGTCGATATCAAATTTATATTAGAAATTACATGTAAATAGTGTTAATAAACTTAGATAGTAAACATAGCTTGGAAATAGTCACATTGATACTTGCTAGGTTTCCAACCAGTATCGCATCTTAAGTGGGCGGCTATCTTCTTTGTGTAATGAATAAAATAAAATTCGAAAAATTCAAGTAAATATCCTGACCAACTAGTACCAATATGAATTTTTCCGAGTTATATGTACTTTTTAAGATTATTTTAATACCATTGACAAATGTTGAAGTAAAATATCGCAAGGCAGCCGCGATTTATAATGTCTGATTATAGGATAGAAATTGTCAACCCATCTTGATTACATCACATGGTGATTAGTGCTCAAAATTTCTCCGTGTGAGAAGAGGTTTTTGCTTAGCAGTGGACACGTAAAAGCTGATACATAATACACAATATACATGGTTATTTCTAAAACACCGGCAATTTTGCAGGACTATATTAGTATCATCATAAACAACAACTTTGGTTCTATGACTTTTTAAAAAACATAATATATTTACCAAAAATAAACTTTCAAGATTTCGTTGTCCTCTCTAACACATTTCAACTCTGTTGTTCTGTACCTACTGCACCTACCTACGCCTGCTGTGCACTGTTCTCGTAGTAATACTTTTGAGTTAGCAACTCGCTACACTACGATTCCCGCTTTTTTACGCAAAAGTCAAATGATACCAACAATCGGACATTCTTCGGACGGGCCTCGCATAGACTTCGTAACATTAAGAGCGGTCAATTTAAATATTGTTATTTTCGTATGAAAATGTGATGATTTAAAATATGATGAATTTTAAAAGTCTTAGAACAAAACTTTTTGATTATAAGGTTAGTAACAAAGTCCTGAAACGTTTTTGGTGTTTTAAAAATAACACTATATACAAAATTAAGTATTAGTTCCTGTCACGCACTCACCATGAATGAATCACGAATTTTTTCGTTTCTATGCAATAAAAGTATAAAAAACACACTTATAGGTATCATTATCGATGTTACCTATCAAATATCTCGCGCAGTGATAGTTATCTGAAAGTACTCAAATGTACTTGTATCATGTACTTTATGTAGACACTTGAAATAGACTTAATGTGGAGTATAAGTACACAAAATATGTATTTATTCATTCATGTTACATAAGTGGCTATTCTCGTTATTAGGTAATTGATTTGTGCAAGTAAATTAATTACTTGCTGCCTCAATGAACGAATAGGCCACCGCAGTGGAGGCCTATAGGGCTGAAGTTCAGCCTGGATTGCAGGGCAAGCGCAATAAGGCACCCTGGCCCTGGCCTCAGAGAAGAAACGGGGGGGGGGGGGTTTAGTTAGTAAGAGTCTGATACTCCGTCTGATCCCGCCCTGGACGGGAAAAGTCATTTGACAATTTCTAAGAAAAAAATTACAAAAAAAGGTTTTCGTGGCTCGTCCGCTCTTTTGAAATTTTCACATAAAAAAAGAAGAAATAAGAGGTCTGTTTAAAATTGGAATTCTGTATCAGACTTTGCTCAACGATTCGCTTTTAGTAATCAAAATTTAAACACCTTTTTCCATTATCAATAGCGAATGAAGTAACTTTATATTTTTTTTAAACCAAAGAAAAATATTACAAAAAAATGTTAGGCTTAAAACACATTACATTTACTGAGTACAATATTTTAAGCTGGAATTCATAAAAAGGCTACACCAATAGGCTTTCACTAGGTAAACGAAATGGACGCTTTTAGCGAAAGCGTATCGTTACCTTTTTCATTTCATTATCGAAAATACGAAGATCAATCTGTTTGTTTGACTTCTTTACAACTAAATATCTAAAAAGTTTGGAATGATTTCAATAAAAGGTCGAATAAAGTTATTTTTGACATGACATGGTTGCACTTTTTCGCAAAATGATTATCACATATTACTAAGGAAAGCTTGATAAACAGAATTGGTCACCAAACGTCTTCCTATAAAGTTAACAAGCTTCCGCCTAGTATGTTGATAAAAAGTAGCCTATGTCCGATTACGGAATGTATTCTATGCCTGCGCCAAATTTCATCCAGATCCATCCTGCCGTTTTGGCGTGATTCTGTAACAAACATTCAAACATCGTAACTTTCGCAGTTATCTTATAAGTAAGATAAAATGAGCAAAGCCATATTCGAAAGCTAGCAGTAAAAACTCTTTTTTGAAATACCAAGTCTGTTTGACACGTGCTAAAATATGGCCAGCTTTGTATGAATTATTGTAGCCATATTAGGTTTTAAAAGTTTAAACTTTTACATATTTTGGAACTTTGCAAGGGTTTGAATTAAATGAATCTGATTTTGAGTTTATCGAGTTTATTAATCTATGTTTGCAAATAAATTTCATAATATTATTCAAATAGACAGTTGCAAGTATTTAAGTATTTTATCGGATACATTTCGGAGACTGTTTTGGGGAGGTGCACGACTTGATTCCCTCTAGTCCTCTCCAGTGTTGTTCCACCAAACAGTTGGCAAAACGTCATCGCTTCATGGTGGATATCCCATCAACGCACAAAGTGGTTCGCCTTAAATTTTATTCTCAGCACCGCGAAGGAGTGGAACTCTTTGCCGGAGTCTGTTTTCCCCCATGGGTTTAACCTTCAAGACCCGAGTGGGAATAGGTTGCTTATGGGTAGGCGTGCTCTATGGCTTACCACCATGCGTGATGGCGTTCAAACGCCAGCCCATTTCTGTAAAATAAAAAAAGAAGAAAGTAATGTCTAATTAAATATTGAACTTATAAATTTACTAGCTTTTGCCCTCGACTTCGTTCGCGTGAAATGACGTGACTTTCTGCAGATTTTTGATATAAAAACTATCCTATGTCCTATCTCGAGTTCCAAACTATGTCTGTACTAAACATACAAATCGGTTCAGTAGTTTAGGCGTGAAGAAAAGACAGACAGAGTTACGTTCGCATTTAAAATATTAGTTTGGACAGGCGGGTTTAGACATATTCTATTACCTACATATACATGTACTACTAAGTCTAATGAAAACTTTATTTTAATTTCAGGCTATAAAAAGCCGTTTGTGCGATGTGGCGAGAAAGGGTTTGTGATGGCCGGCACGTACAGAAAGCATGCTGAGTTCATCTACAACTTCCAAGTGCGACCTGATGATGTGTGGGTCGTCACCGTTCCCAGATCCGGTGAGTTCATTGATAAGAATGCACGGTTGGCGCGGTGGCTGGGCAACGTGTCCTGGGTTCGATTCCCGCACGGAACAACTCTTTGCTTGATCCACCTATTGCTGTTCTGGGTATGAGCGTGATGTGTATGTGAAATTGTATGCTTGTACCCACGACACAGAAGAAAATTTTAGTGGGGGGAACGTTTTTTTAAACGATTTTGTAAGTTTGTTATGGGTTTTGTTAAAAAAGGTGTTGATTTAGAGTGATTTTAAAATTCGGTTGTCAGATTATATTAAAAGAAGTTGTTGAAAAAAATTGCAAGATTTGAAAAAAAAATGTTTATTGTTGAAAATATTTTTGCAATTGTTATTTAAGCGATTTGTAACACAAAATGGTTTTAAATGTATCTACATATAAAAATATGGCAAACGTCATAAATTCGTGCATGATATTAAGCTGTTTTATAATAAATGTTTTTATTTCATTTTTTATCTTTTATCGTGATAATGTCGATCCGTCGTTTGAAGTCATCATACGGTGATGTAATCCTGGTAAATTTTACTGATATAGAGTACGTATAGATTATAAGAACCTGTTCAGTTCTTTTCCACTGTAATGGTCGAATAGCGGTGATAAAATTTTTGGTTTTCAATAAAAAATGTGTATGGTTGAACGATTTTGATAACCATCATAATAATATATCTTATCCCACTTATATTACATATAAATGAGAAAGTTTGTGAGCATACATCCTGAGTAGGGTGTATGTTTGGCATTCTTTTAATCGAAAAGGTGTAGATAGGTTACAAGTGCTCAGCAAGTGATACTTTAAAATGTGGCTGACTAGCTATTTTTTTTTCATATTTGTGTCTTTTTCACTCGCGATTATTGAATCGTGCCATTTCACTTTGACGTCTAAACATACGAATTGTTCATGTGTGTATCAGTGTAACTTTTTTGAAAATCGAATTTGAATTTTGTTTAGGTAACTTATATACACGCTTATATACACCATTTTACTTATAAAATCATTGGTTGGACCAATTTGGTTGAATGGGCATGTAGATAGGTGATGGATTAACACAATAAATAGTCCACATCACAATAAAAAAAAGTACCAAAAAGTTTTGATGCCCAGTTCAGTTTTATTTTTTAATCCCTGATAACATTATCTTATTACGTAATAATAAATGTGAAACGTTGTTTTAATTAAGTAATTGTTTTTTTTTCAGGTACAACATGGGTACAAGAATTAGTATGGTTAGTGGCTAACGACATGGATTTCAAAACAGCAAAAGATAAGCCTTTATACAAGAGATTTCCTATGTTAGAGTGAGTATCTTTTAGTATTTTTTTAAATGATAGTTTATATTATGATATAGGCAAACGAGAACACGGATTACCTGCTGGTAAATAATCAGCGCCGCCCAAGGATACCCGCAGCAACAGAGGAGTTCCGAGTGCGTTGCTAACCTTTTAGGGTTAAGGGATTGCGGAGGGATCGGGGCAAGGGAGGGATTGGGCCTCCTCTGTGCCTACCAGATTAAATAAAATTATTGCCGTGATGTGTTTGTTATACGTAATTGTGTATCTAAAGTATTTTACAGCTAAAATATCGCCGATTGTAATCAGGTGCTGTTGAGCGTCGATAAAATTTTGCGATAGTACTTTTTCGTATCTGGTATATCTACTCGTACTAATAGACTGTTGTTACGTCATGTCTTTAAGCAGGATATACTACTTACACCCTTTGTTACGTAATTTTAAGGTACACTTTCCGATATCCACCAAGGTTTTTAAAAAAAGACGAAGATTATTGATGCAAATGCCAAAATCAGAACAGTCAATTTTAAACTGTAGTTTGAATATGGAATGCCTCCAAAATTTCATGACCAAAGCTTAAAATTAATTGCAATAAAAAATATAATATTTAATCTAACCAAAGTGTATTTAATTTTCCCCAGAATATCAACACACATCCCAGAAATCGCAGTAGAGCTAATAAAAATAAACTTCTTCAATTTGGGCAACTTCCAAGGCCTAAACGAAGCAGTCAAGGAAAAGAGTTGGAAGACATTAGAAAAGGCACCTTCTCCAAGATTCATTAAGACTCATCTTCCATTGTCGTTGTTGCCACCAAACCTGCTTTCGACCGCAAAGGTGGTTTACGTGGCCAGGGACCCTAGAGATGTGGCAGTGTCATATTATTATCTTTATAAAATGACGAACAAAAGCCTATTAAGAGCAAATGTCACTCACTTCTGGGAAGCTTTCAGAAGAGATTTGTGTGAGTATAAATTTTTAAACAGCTTCTAACAGGTTTACGAGAATTTATTTTTCAAACTTTTGAGAATCGAGGAAAATGAGTTAACATTTTCTACTATTTGTTATTCATTTTTGATGAGTGCTGTAAATAGGTGTAGGAAAAAGTATTTGATTACAAACCTTTATTTAAAAAATATAATTTCATATTAGAATAGTTGATATATTAACTTTTTGGTTAAAATACCTATATGTAATAAATATGTTTTGTTAGTTCTAATTATTAGAATTTAAAAACAATATTCCTTTTTTATGTGCTATATCCCCCTATCAATGCAAATGATGATGATGGTGGCAAGCAATCTCCGCCGTCCATGGACACCAGAGGAGTTACGAGTGTGTTGCCAACCTTTTGGGAATTATGATTTCGGAGATTTAAAAAATGAAAAGGGCACTCTCACTGCTAAACACAACGCTGTAGTTGTTTTATACCTGATTTCTGTGAGGCCGCAGTGGACGCATTCGTGCTGAAACATGGCTGCCGCTCTCCCTCACTTTTCCCAGGGTAACATGGAATTCGCGGTTTATAATATGATTTTCTTGCTTTCAGTACCCTGGACACCAATAGTGGAGCACGCTAACGAGGCCTATGAAAAGAGACATCATCCGAATCTACATTTTGTTTTCTACGAGAATATGAAAAAGGTATGCTTGTCAATGTAGTGCTTATTATGAAAAAAAAAATCGTTTTTAATCTTCAAAAATGTCTATGATATTGGTAAATTAATTGTTCTGTGTAACAAACTTTAAAAAAGTGAGGGTTAATGGGAATGTTATACAGTAATAAATTCAGTTTAAAGTTGTAACATATAGTATGAATCATCTGTTCATCGGTGTCATGATGTACATAGTGTGCGTGAAAGACTAGCATGCTCATGTTGGATGGAGCTTAAAACATACCTATTTTCATTAACAAAATATCTAATACCATCCTTATTTTAGTTTTAGTTTTAGTTATCCTTAACTTTTAAGAGAGATCAAAGTCAAAGTGAAAGTCAAATTCTAAATCAAAATCAATACAAAGTCAAAGTCAAAGTCAAAGTCAAAGTCAAAGTCAAAGTCAAAGTCAAAGTCAAAGTCAAAGTCAAAGTCAAAGTCAAAGTCAAAGTCAAAGTCAAAGTCAAAGTCAAAGTCAAAGTCAAAGTCATTTATTCCCAACAAACCAAAAGTAGACACTTTTGTGAAACGTCAATATAGAATAGTAGTCTATCAGTCAGTTCGTCAGTGAAGCTAGGTGCTCGTCGATCGTCCCATGTACCCATTATACATATTTGTACAAACATCAACTTAAATTTCAGGATCTACACACAGAAATAGGAAAAGTCTGCAAGTTCTTGAACAAAGACTACACAGATGCACAGATCGACCGGCTGGCTGAACATCTTAGCTTCGATAGTTTGAGGAAGAACAAAAATGTCAATAATACCACAACTAAAGATTCCGAAATACAATTTATCAGAAAAGGTGAGATATCATTTTATTGTTGTAGTAGTTAGGAAATAGATTTTGCAATATTTTAAATATATATTTTCTTATTATACAAATTAAATACATCTCAATCCTACTAATATCATAAAGGTAAAAGTTGATGAGAATAGAAATGGATGTATGTTTGTTATTATATCACACAAAAAACGGTTAGACCGATTTGGTATAAATTTAGTAAGTGATATTTTAGATAAACACTTAGGCAGCTTGTTATCAACGTACCACGCGTACGGAAGCCAGAGTACCTATATTATAAATAAAAAAAAGATATACCTACACCTTTATATTTATTTATGAAATTTTTACACCTACAATTGTAAAACTAGTCATATTTAATTACATAACTTTAAAAGTCAAACTTTTTACAGTTAATTAACTCGTTTGCCTATTTATCCTCACTCTTAAACCTTAAACTTTAATTCAAATTTCAGGTGAAGCAGGAGGTTGGCGGTCACATTTCGACGAGAAAATGCAGTTACAAGCTGAGGAATTCCTCCTGACGAGGCTAGCAGGCCTCGAGTTATCGTATCCTTCCTTCCCTACCCATGAAATCACTAAATTATAAGTCATAGGAACATTATACTACTAATATGTATATAGATAATATTTCAGCTTTTCTGTGATCGTTAGTTGAGGAGTGTGAATGAGAACACGTCAGTATCATTGTCATTGTGATTTATTTTTTTAAGCTTTTTTTAAATATCGAAGACCGTTGCAGTCGTGTAAGAAGCTGCGTTCTTTTAAATTTGAATTCAACTGTTAGAATGGTTCGGAAGAGGTAATATCTTTATATTTATATTTATATCTTTTTTTTGGGTAGGCATTTTCGTAAAACCAAAATGAGGTTTTTTAATAGATCAATTGTTTATGACTAATACCCATTAATACTAATTTTTATTTTAGTCAGCTAATGATTTATTGCAATCATTGATCATAATGATTAACAATGATTGCCGGACTTGCCACTTAATATTGAATGATGATGATAAAAAACAGCTTTCTCATTATTTAAAGATAATTATTTCGAACCAGATTCGAATAAGACGCAGTGTCTAGTCACCCTTACAATATAAAACGGGTTGATTTGTAAATAGTACAATTATACGTTAGTTAATTTTAGTTTTTTTTGCATTTAGTATCAAAATTAAGAATGTCACAACGATTCTTGATTCTGTCTAGAACACAAATTACGTTATACTCATATTTTAAAGTAATGTTTTATAGCAAAAAATGCATTAAGTTATTAAAAAAATATGTGTCATAAAAAATATATTCATATTATATGCACAAAACGTACAGCATTCTTACTAAGTTGTAAAAACAATTTTCACGAATCACGATTTCTTGTCAATGATCTTTCTTAAATTTCTATATAATTCATATTTCAATTAATAGTAAATTTGAAAGTGTTTTTTAATAATACAAGTATAGAAAAAGAAGTCGACTATTATGTGATTCTTCTGAAGTTATCTACATACATAAGTGCGTAATTTACTACAAAGTGAGGCTTGAATAAAGAATGTTTATAAATAAATATAGCTATTCATATTTTTAGGTAAATGACTCAAAAACGTTTCGACAAATTCGGCCATGAATTAAAATCTATTCTTTTTTCAAATATGTGTCAGAAAGTTCTGACAAAAAAACTAATAGATGAACGCTGGAAATAAAAACCTAAACCTCTTTTGAGTCATCGTCTAAAAATAACTTTCGCATGTGATAATTGCTATGTAAACTATATTTATTCTATTGTCAATTTGTTATGGTGTGATATGTAGGATTAAACTTAAAATAAGGGCCTTGGTTCTTAATGTCTGAATACATTTCCATTGATTTAATAGTATTTTGGATACATCTTTCTTTGGAAAATGTGTCAAGTTATACATGTGTGAGTAGTAGACCAATGGAGACTTATCAGGAGTGATACATGTCCTTAATATACTTAAGTATTAATTGTGATTAGTGTTATTCAATTGTGTAATATTTGCTTGGAGCAAATCGGGTACTTTAATCGGGAAATCTTTTCTTTTTGTGAAAAACTGTTGTGAGACATGAAATTAATTTGAAATTAATTTATATAATACTTTTAAAAAGAAAATATGTAGTTGTAAATCAAAATAAAATTACGTAGATAAGTTGGAATTGTCATTGAAATTGAGATGATTTTTTTGACCGAAAAAAGCAATGTATAATGGAAATATTTAATCATTATATTGTACATGAAGACTTTGTTACCTCGTTATGTAATAATATTTAAATGTTACTTTAATTTAACTAAATAGTAATATAAAGCTTTATGTTGTACATATTATGTTGTATTAAGTAAACTAACCTTAAGCTATAGCACTAAAAGATTTTCTATCAAATAAAATTCATATTTACACGAATGTCTTTATTTTATTTTATTTGTACCCTTTCAGTTGTGGTAATTCGAGACAGAATAGGCGCGTGCGCTTGGAGTTTGATGAATTAACCTACGGTTTTCATTATGGGGGATGCAAGATATTTTGGCTTTTATAGATACTCTTTCGGTGTTTTCTACAGGCTGATGACTGATGTAGCGACATCTAGCGCACTACATTAACAACAGCACCAATCACGTGCAAGAGTCTACATCGCGCTATAAGATTTTTCAAAACAATTAGCACCCATACAGATATCCCGACAACAACCGTGGGGCAGTAGCCCACCAGGCACGAACACCTCGCCTGGTCGGAGGATCTTCCCTTTTCAATGGAGGATGAGGAACTTTCCACCCTGTTCCTCATACCTCTAAACTGGTGACCCCGACGTGATCTCATACCTCTAAAATACTAAATCAAATAAAGTAGGATTCGAAAATTTAATTGGCACAGGTCAATTTATTTGAGTGATAATTAATCATCATTAAATGTATTCTCATAGTGATGATACTCGGGCGTCTCGAAACTTTCGTGTCCAGTAAGCACCAGCAACAGATGGAAGATGAGGACGCCGTAACGCCTCTAGCTACAACTCAAAGGGTCTTACCAATGCAATAAAAACGACCCTGTATTTGTCACGTGGGCTTAGGGATCCATACATCAATGTCCTTTAGTCGGTGGCCCTGTGTTTCCATTGCCGTCGCTCATATTAAACAAAATTCCAACTCAAATAATTTTTTCCTGTGTCTAATCGAAATTCATATAGACGTAAGCGCGGGTCTGCGGGCGGCGAGTACCTAAGGGTCGCTCGCCGTCCAAACAGATCCAGACCCGAGCGAACAGTGCGTAGCGTTCCGCGCGCGCCTATAAGAGCTAATACACCACCACAGATGGGGCCCTATAGGGCTGATGTTCAGCCGGGGTTGCCGGGTGAGCGCAATGAGGCACGACCTCGGCCTAGAGCAGGAGCAGTAGGTAGGGGGGGGGGGGGTTTAGGCAGTACTCCCCTTACCCTGGGCGGGAGAAATCATTAGATCATTATACCCTAACAAAAAAAAAAATATATGTTGTAAAACGTAAAACTTATTCTTTAACAATATTGTGGTTAATGTAGTACACAGTAAAATAGGAAAAGTTGTAGAACTGATATTATAAACGCTGCACAAAAAACAGGAACCCGTAGCCATATATCATATTCTGCCATTTATATCTAGATTAATGAACAGGCGGCCATTTTATTACGGCACGGAACAAAGTGCGCCACTCTTCGCTGTATCACTCTATTGTTCGCCCTAATAAATTACACGAAGCGCCATCGCGCTGTGTTTAGCGCATTATTATGTCAAATTATATTATGTTTATTATAACTTTGTTCACGGTCTGGATTTTTATTATGCAGAGCCACCGAGAAAGACGAGAGAATTATCTTTTGGATTTAGACAAAAATTTTAAAGCTGCGCTAATAATAAAGCAGTATGGAACAGCGCATGAAATGGTCTCAAGCAAATTAATTAAAGTTAAGTCCACAAATATGTTTTAGTAGCCTGCCACAAAATCTATAGCAAAACGCTGAAGTAAGCAAATTGCTATTACAAACGTGCAGGCACAGTAAAGAAATGCCGATACAAATTTTAGTTTTTTTTAGTAAATTGTCTATTATACTGACCTGTTAACTTATGATACAATAAATAATACACACAAATACACATTTACAATTGAATACAGTAAATAGTTAATAAATAAATAAAATTGCAAATAGTACGTAGAGTTGGTAGGTACCTATAATAAAAAATAGGAAATATTTTTAGTTGCTATTACTTTAATTAATAGAACTCAAGATTTCACGCACTAATAGCAAATAAAGACAACATCCTTTGTAGAATCTGTTGTCTGTGTGTTTATTTGTCTTTCATGTTCGTCGAATTGGAGGAACGTAGCAGATATTTTTTTTGTCTAAGTCCTTAGGTCTGGAGTTGCTAGCAATGCCTAACAATCATACTTATACATATTTCATAACCTTAAAGCCACACCTTCACACAATGTACACGTCGTCGCACCGAATAAAATAAAAATCAACGTACCTACCTACATACCTACTTAATATGTGTGTGATTTTACTAAACTTGTTTTTGTACAATTATCGTAAAATACTTAGAGCGCGACAATGACCTTCATTTTAAATCTGTAGATAGCGCTGCGGTAAATTCTACTGATAGCCTATCTATGAAATAAACACAAATATCACACCTTTTTATATCTACAAATGAAAAGCAGAGGTGTACAACTCAACCATTATTAGCCATTGTTTTTTGCATGCCATAAGACTAGTTCTTGTGGCATGCAAAAAACACCTTTATTCTCAAAGAGAAAGAGGTGTATGTAAATACGAACAGTACATAAGTAAGCAAATCATAATTGACCATAGAAAAGCTGCATATATGCGTCTCTGGCACGGTTTCACTCGCTACTAGGTAGCGTGATTTTTAAAGGTTCTCCCTTCTCTCTTCCTCGATAAAAAGCCTATACAATGCAAAATGAATTGTTCAATTCAAACCAGTAGTTTCGGAGATTAGCACGTTCAAGAAAATAAGCAAACATCAGATTTAAACATTATTAATATTTTGCAATATAAAGTTATACATGGAGTTTCTCCTTATCCTAAGATAATTTCTTCTCTTTTATTTGTTACAGGGTACAAGATGTTGAGACTCAGTCTCTGGGGCTCGTCGATTTAGTGTTTCGGTGTTCGCATGGTAGTACGTTGTTCATGTTGTACTGCGTTGTTCTTGACTTACATACACGAGTTGCAATGATTTGGATCGGTTCTGTCTTCTGTTCTCCGCGTATAAAAACGTTTCACATATCAAAAGAAAACTTTAACTCAGTTAAAGGATTGAAGGTATCCATTAGAAACCTCGGAGAAAAAACGGTATTAGCAGAGTCACAGTGCCGGGATGCCAATGGATGCAAGTGGTAAGGATCCGACTTGGAGGGCTAGAGGGGCGGTATTTATTCAATACTTGATTCTAACTGATTATAGCGATGATAATGATGATTCTATAATTTTAAATTAAAGCTATAAAACAAGTCTTATCGTAATTCATAACATGGAGACTTTTGTTACTACTTACGACGCACATATTTAGACTTAAATATGCTACCAACAGGTTTAAAATATAATAAATAAATAATTCAAATTTGTTTCTTTTTTTAAAAAAAGTAACTTTAATTCAGTAACAGATTTTGGACAGTGCAAAATATTTAAAAACGTACCACGTTCTAATACGACGTTTAGAATATCATTTTTTAATACTTTATTAGGGTCTATAAATAGCTAAATATATTCCTCTGTGGTCAATTCAACAATTTGCATAAGGAGGTAAGTACCAATGTGTAGAATTAAATAACACGTTTTGTTCTACACAAACAACTTTGGTACTCGTATAATGACATCAGATGGTATGTGACATAATATAAGGCTGTCTACAATCGAAAAACACTATGAACCTCAAAAAAGAAATTAACAGATTTTATTTATAAAATAATTGTATTGAATGATTTTTTTTTATAATTTTACATAAAGGCATACCTAATTGTTTAGCAAACGGATTGTGTTTACTCTTCACACAGGTTAACACATTATATTTATATTTTCCTAACACTCAAGTTGCAGCTTTAGTATTGTCAAAACAGTGCTTTTATTATAAAACTAACTTACTTTGTGTTACGGATGTAAGCTTGCTTTACTGTTTCTTGAGAAAACATTCTTTTAATATTTTAATGTTATATTTTTCACCGACCTTGTTTAACATCTACTCTCTTGGCATCCTATCTGTATTAGCGCGCAATGTTTATACTTATGCATATCCTACCATTACCAGTGATTAATAAAAAATTAACTATTTATTACCAAAACTGTAGGGGCATCCGTACGAAATTGCAGGCTCTGTATATGAATATTCTCACGAGAACATACGACATCATCATACTGACAGAAACATGGCTAGTGCCGGAAATCAGTAACAATGAGTTCATTGACCAGCGTTACGTTGTGTACAGGTGTGATCGCGATCGGGCTAGCACGAATAGACGGGATGGCGGCGGTGTCCTAGTGGCAATCTTAAAAAATCTCCAACCCATTGAAATAGACTTAAACACTTTTGCCAATGTGATTCCTCTGCATAGCTACATAGAACAGGTTGCTGTGGAAATACCCAGTGGGCAAAAATCCAAGTATCACGTCGTGGCAGCTGCATACATACCCCCTAAAACTCCCCCGTCTGTGTATGAAAAGCACTTTGAAACACTCTATGAAGCCCTATGTAATCCTAATGTCGATATGTTTTATGTAGCCGGAGATTATAATCTTCCAGAAGCAACATGGCACATGCCTCCTACCTCGAATACTCCTATTAATTCCCGTTTATGCTCCAGTTCAACTCCATCCTGCGACCATCTTAATAACTTTATGTCTCTACTAAGTGCCTCTCAGTATAACTATACACTTAACTCTAAA